CTACTCCTTCAGCTTTGATTTCACCAAGTCCAGTGTGACAGCAGCTTAACACAACTAACGGAGCGAGTACTCGAGCCCGCTGTACATCATCCATGTCAGCATGTAGTCTTTTTCAACTGGGATCATTGTTCTTCTTGTCTCAGGGGAAGCAGGAGTAGGAGCAAGCAGTATTGTACCATTGTTAAAGCCTCAGTAGTATAGGGGATGGGGGTTTCAGCGCAACGACCACCGGAGGATTACCCGTCTAAAGTGAATTCCTCGATTCGTGCCGCGATTACCCGCATTCCGTGTTTATGTAGTTAAATGTGTTAGTCTATATATGGAGTGCGAAGATTGTAAAAAGTTTGCTTATGATTTCTGTGTAAAGTGCTTGAAACCCAAGTTTGTACCTACTAAGCCAAATAAGTATATTTGTTGTGGTAAGAAAATGCAAATAGAAGACGACACGTCAGCACAGTGTTACGAGTATGGTTAGAAGAGTGTATGGATTGTCACTGCCTCGACAACCATGTTTTGACTACCTTTTTTTGTGTTCCAAAAGATGTGGATCCATGTTCCAAAAGATGTCTGGTTTGCGACGCTTCCCAAAATAGAAGAGTGTATGTGTGTTCCAAAAGATGTGTATTGCTACCCCAAAAGATGTCTATAGAAGGGAGGCGATTCACCGCCCTTCCAACTTGCGACAGTTGTCCAACGAGGACCACATTCGTAGTATTTGCTTCTCCCCCTATATATAGAGATGGACTCTCAAAAGACTATTTCGACAACATTGCAAGAGATGGGAATACGAGCAAAGAGTAGGCTGCTAGCGCATTTGCTGCTGGACAATGCCCACGACGGAAACCTGCTTCCGGACATATCCAAATGCGACTACCTACGCAACAACGAAGGCCCTACAAGTTTGCAGCCGCTGGAAGGATTGCCACCATTCGTAGACGACGTGTTTGTGTATGGATTCGCCGCAGAACAAGATTTGTATGGGCGGGTGTGTAGAAATGCGAAGGCAATAGTATCCAAAATATCCATTGCAGCCACGGAAGCGTTTGGGATATTTCTACCAACCAGCATGGCGCACACATGCAAAAAAGGAAACATAGTACAGCGCGTAGCCCATTTGTCCAACAAGTGGAATAGCCTGCACGGCGAACACGCAGCCACGTTCGTAGCCAAAGTAGACACCTCCGAATTGTCCATAGAAGTCGTAGACAAAAGCATTGCCAAGTTCGCCAGGCTATTGGATGCGCACGGATATGGAATCTATTCCGTCGACTACACGCAGGATTTCTCCGGAACTTTGGACAGGAAAGCTTTGGTGCGCCGACTGCGGCAAATGGGCTACAAAGAACAAGGAGAAGCTGGTTGGCGCGAAGGCACCATTTTGGACAATACGCACCAAGTAGGCAACCATGTTTGTACTTGGGTGGAAAAGGGCAAATGGACGAAGATATACAACAAAATAGTGTCGAACTTCGAAGCCGGAGAAGTGCAGAATCCAGTAGGCGCAAAGCTGGCCGAGTATGTGGATTGCCCCAACGACCATTTGCGTAGGACTTTCCTGCATCCCGACGTGCAAAAAAGAGGATGCACGCGCGTGGAAATATCCATCTACAGCAGGGATTTCTCCAAAGAACACACCAATGCTATCGTGGAAACCATAGCGCCGCTAGAAGACATCTTTGTGGTGCAGCCGCCAAAGAATATGTGGTTGGCGCTTGCCGAACATTTGGACAGATGCTGCTGCATTTGCTGCGAAGAGACGGGAGAGATATTCCTAGCATGGTACTGCCACGCAGGAACGGGCAGGATAGCCGGCGTACGCGTACGGGGCAACGACAAATGGGAACAGTGCGTACTTTGGACCATAGCAGAGTTCGGCTTGCGCAGATGCCCCATATTTCGCATAGACGTAGGAGAATTGGATCCGGTGGAAATACTGCCGCTGCGCTGCTACACCAAAGATGCCCCTACCATACTAGCGGAGTCCAAGTTCCCTACGCGCGTGCATGCGAACGCACCTACAATAGCCGACTTTCTGCCTCCGACGGAACACGTGGAGTGGATATGGCGTACGAAGAAGGCGCAGCGTTTGGGCGTGGAAAAGAGTGCCTTTGGCATCTTGGAAGTGCCTACGGACCGCAGGATATCCTTCCTATCCAAAAGAAAGCGGCAGCAGCACTTGGAAGACATACGGGACGATTTGGAAGGCGACGAGTGGGTAGAAGCCACGAAAAGATACCACGCGGAGCTGCAGGAGCAGCGGCAGAACATCCTGCGGCAAAAAGAAGAAGACAGGCGAAAGATAGAAGAAGAGATGCAGAAGTACGAAAAGCTGTGGGATAGAATTCGAAAGCGTTCCGCCGCTATGCACAAGCTGCTCTTTGGAGTGGAGGTAGCCAAGCGCTTTCCGGGGGACTACGCGCCCTACAAAATACATCGAATGCAAGAAATACCCGCAGGCGACTACAAAATACTGGGCTACGTAGAGCCGCGGAACAAAGACCCCGATTGGCCTGCAAGAGGACACCGCGTAGTTCTGCGCCGTGGTAGCGAAGCGTCGGTGGTTTGGGCAACGACGGCAATGCTGGACGCATTTGCAGTAGGAAAGTTCGAAGACAGGGGCTGCGCGCGTGTGGCAGTCCCCAAGGAAGAAGTGCTCTTGGAGTGGCAGAACAACGCAGCCACCATCTTTGTGCCCGAAGGCCCTGGTTTGGACACCTACCACGAATTGGTGGGAAAAATAGACTACGCGATACCCAAGAATCCCCAGCGGCTACTAGAAGTGGGGGCGCCGCCGAACAAAGAATGCGTGCAGGCGCTACGCATGCAGCCGGGCGAATACCAATGCTGGCGCTACGCAAAAACCACCTACAGGGGAAAAGAAAGGACCATTCTATTTCTGTCCCCCCGATGCTCCGAGTGCGTATTGGAGGGCTGCACGGTGGAACATGCAACCACGCCCGTCTGGGGACACTTCTTGCAGGCACAAAAAAGAGACTGGGCGCATATTTCGCCGCCTTTGTACTGCAAGATAGGCAGGGAAAAGACCACCGCCAACAAAAGAAAGGATAGATTGGTGCATGTGTCCACCTAGGACATTGCATAGATCTTTTTGGGCTGCAGGGGCCTTCCAAAGTAGGTCTTCGTATTTCGTGTTGTTTTGTTGTGGGATTGCTAACAAACAACAAGAAATACGAAAACCTTTTTTTGGACTCTTTGCGCAACATCTATCGGCTACTCCATCTCTGGAATCCTTCCCTTTGGTGGCTCCCTAGGCTTTGGTTCGTGTGGAATATATTTGTATACAACTTTGGGTTCTTGTCTGGTGGCCCAAACAAGCGCTCCAATACCCAAGACGGCGAATAGCACATTCCCAGCTATCTGCCAGTCCATTTTCGTGGATATCTCCTCTACTTCTTCGGACAAATCCTCTGACTCGCTGGATAGGCTTTCCAAATCGCTCTCCGCCGCGGTTGGCAGCTGTTTCTCCAGATCGCCTATTCGCAGCAGCAATTCTTCTTTCGTTTTCTGTAGGTCGTCCAACACTATAGCAAAAGAATCCTGCACTTCCAGGAAATGTTTCTTCAAATCCGTAGTAGGTGGCTTTTCTGGGATAGCTACCTCTACGCCATTTTCTTTCTCTATCCTACGTATTTTGGGTATTCCTATCCCTTACTTCTTGGCTACCTTTTGTAGCCCCATGCCATTCCTGCGGTCTTCCAAAAGGTCTGCAATCTCCTCTTCGGATAGTATCTTGGGTGTGGCCATATATGTAGGTAGATACGGAACATACCCTATGTTTGTCCATGGAATACCCTATGGATCCATATGGTAGATACCTGTTTGYCCACAGATATAGCATGTATTTGTACATAGCTACGGGCATAGCTGCATACATGCTGGGAAAACAACGGACAATACAAATGCTGCTGGAAATTCTAGAAGGTCTCTACCGCGCGCAAAAGACAATACRGGAAGTTCGCATACCGGGCCACGTGGCGACTTTGTTGCAGCTACCGCGGCGTCGATAGGGGAACGAATCGTTCCTCTCCCATCTTTCGGGAAACGCATACACTCTTTTGGGACACGGTTGCACATCTTTTGGAACACGAATCTACATCATTTGGGACACAAAAAAAGGCAGTGACGATCCATACACTCTTCTAGACGCGGTTGCACATCTTTTGGGACACGAAAAAAAGGTAGTCGAAACATGGTTGTCGAGGCACTGACAATCCATACACTCTTCTAAAGTCCACTTCTTTCTTAAAAGTTCTCTTACAATCTTCGCACTCCATATATAGACTAACATATTTAACTACATAAACACGGGATGCGGGTAATCGCGGCACGAATCGAGGAATTCACTTTAGACGGGTAATCCTCCGGTGGTCGTTGCGCTGGAACCCCCATCCCCTATACTACTGCATCCGTGTCCAGCAATGTGAACAAGAGATAGTTCTCGTTGTAATCGTTCTGTTACAGCTTGCTTTGTTGCCATTCCTTCTGTCARTGGCATGACATTATGTATACTACTTACTGCGTTCGCCTCGCGAAAGGCTGCACTTAATGGACGAACATTTTTCTTTTCCCCATCTAGCATTACTTNTGGCTGAACATGAAATACCTGTCATTATACTTACCTGCGTGGCAGAGTAAGAAATCGCGTGTCGGATTCATTGAATTGAATATGTCAGTACATTTGCAAAGRCCGAATGTCTGAAGATGTCTGGTCACCACAAAATCTGTCTCATTTATCATCAGTTTCCATACTTCCGGTCAGGGGTTGAAAATGAGAACAACAACATTAGATCAATAATTATTTCTTTCAAATATTCTCAAAATGAGCTGATATCGTTTACTCTGTAGCCTTCAAAAGCTCAGCGTTCATGTTAAACAACAGCTTACAGGTAATTCTGCCACGAATACAGGAATTTTGAAGCTTGAAGAAACTATAAATGCTGTATTGTTTCGAACGAGAATTCGATGACTTGTGCAATCTGTTGAAATTCCTTTAAAGAACCACTTTATTATTTTCTTGGATTTTAGCTGTTTACGACCAAGGTAACTCGTTAAATGCTTATTTGAGTTTTTTCGGGTTCCCCGACTTTGCTTTAGAGCTATAAGAGGTTAAAGAAGTTTTCATGATGATATTTTGCTTGTCAAAAAGTTAGAATGACGTCATGACGATGAGCGCGCGCTAACCAAACTGTAGCTTAGATGGGAGGCGCGGTAAGAATGCCCATAAATGCCCTTTAGCTTTTAGTTTCAGGATCTTTAAAGCTCGTGTAAGCCATTTTGTATACGCAAATATAAAAACGCAATAATTACTTCCTGGTACCTGTACCTAAAAGTTTAAATGCAATCAGCTCTAGAATCATTGCAGTTAAACGTCCTAACAGTTGATTGTGACATCATCACCCAGAAGGAAGAAAGGCGCCCAATATTTTGGATCACTGTATATTGGAATTTGTCTCATTTCTTTCATCGTTTGCTGCAAACTTGTACTTGTGCTTTTTCCAGCTTTTAAATGTCGGTGAAACCTTCCCATGAATTCAGATGTAGCTTGGTCATGTATGGCCCAGAGAGACGCTACCACTGCACGAGCACCTGATGCTAGAAAGGCTCGACAAATGCCAACTACTCCTTCAGCTTTGATTTCACCAAGTCCAGTGTGACAGCAGCTTAACACAACTAACGGAGCGAGTACTCGAGCCCGCTGTACATCATCCATG